TTTAATAGACCTTAGTACCCAAACCTGATGATAATTTTGTGCCTGTCCTTGGAAGCCCTAGGTTGCACTGAACTTGCTTGACAGCAACACCTACCCAAACACCATCCCCTACCATTCTCGGTGCAGGATGTTTCCCTAGTCAGGCCAGTGAAGGCTCTGTTTGACAGATGCTCCATGGCAGGAATCTTGGAATGCACTTCACCTCACCCTTAACTTTGGTCAGATCACAAACATGTTTACAGAAGGGAAAAATTCATGGTCTCTGCTTAAAAGACGAGGTTAAGCCCWTTTCAAGACCAGGATCAGATGCCCAAACAGGACTGGGTTTACTTGTCATTAGCCAGGCTGGTCTGTCTTTTATTTTTTTCTCTTTTTTCACAATGCCATTATCCTTCTAGCCTCTCTGTTAGTTTAACTTTGCCACACCACTGACATATTTAATCAAACCTAACAGATGATAGCAATTCCAGTCAATTTAATGTACTTACAATTCTGGGCACAGAGTCTGGCTGGTAAGCAATGAGTGACAAAACAGTTGTGAAATAAATTACATAAATATGATACTGGCTTTCCAACTATTTTTCTTCATCATCTAGTATTAAAATTCTGCTTTTTATTGACAGATYTTCTGTTTTTGTAGCAGAACTGGGCATCTGTTAGTCTTTCTGTCTAAATTAAACTAATCAGGTAAGGAATAAATTCTTTCTGTAGGTGGCAGACAAAAGACAAACACCTCAGAAACTGCCTTGTTCAGTATTTAGGCAGTCAAGTATCAGCCCAATTGCCTAGGACAGCAATGGTTTTTTTTTTCTGTTTTAAACTTCTTGTTTTTCACTTTTTTTTTCCTACTCTTCTAATAAAATATATATCCCTATTACAAGATAAATATCTACATTATAGGATAAAAATGATATAAAGCATCAGCTTAAGCAAGAGAGTAAAACTGTGGTGACTTTAGACCAAGACAAAAGTGCACCTGGATACATAAAAGGCCACCTGAGCAATTTGTGGATACTAAAGTCACACCCATCACAAAAGAAATCCTCTACTAAGTCCCAAAGCAGGAAAGCTGCTGTTAGAGAGAGTTCATTTAAAAATTTACAGCCACAGGTTCTTTCATGCACAAGTCAAACTTCACTTTTACTTGCATCAGATAACTTGGAATTTTGTGACTACTAGTATAGCAGGAGGAAAAATAACACGGCTGGGAATTAGAATGCAAGCAGCTAAAAAAAGGAAAAGGGATTATTGGAATACAAAGTACAATTAGAAAAGCAGATTACGGGAGACACTGTATCCCTGACCCTGAGCTGCATGGGCCAAAGGGGAGGAGATGGGGATGGTGACGACATCGGTTGGTATTAGCCTCATTCTGCCTTTCTACAGGCCAAAGAACATCTCCTGGGTAAAACGCTGTCTCTGCTCCCATTTCCAGTATCTGTTTTYACAGGGGATGCTGTCACATGTCACTATAACCACGCAGGCAGATAAAGTTCAAGTTCAGAGGGTGGTTTTTTTCCTCATTGATGCTAACAAATTAAATCTGTTCAATGCAAGCTTGTAAGTGTAGCAAAAGGCTCCTCTCCCTTCTCAAAAGAAGCCAAGGAAAATTGCAGGACTCCTGCTTGATTTCCCAAGCTCCAGCTGTTCTGGACAGCGGATGCAGGAATTTCTTTTTACAAAATCTGGCAGCAGCAAGTGGGAATCCGAGCAGGAAGGGAGAAGAAATATCTTTGGGATGTTGATCAAAATCTGCAACATGGCACGGAGTCTTTTAAAAAAAGAAAAAGTAGTCCTTCAAATTTGCAGTTCTTTAACAGAAGAGTATAGGATAAACATTATTTAGCATTATGGCAAGGCTGGAAATTTCCCAGGGTGTTGTTAAATATTGCAGTTTATAATTATGATTGCTGCTGTTTCTGATTAGCATGCTGTCCCCAGCAAAAGCYATGCATCTTGTTATCAAAATTACTGGGTTTGAGTTGTAATTGTAATGCTTGCACCACAAGAAACCATGAAGGCAGCAGACAGAACTTTTGCAAAGGATTATTTCTTTTTCCAGAGACTGCAAAATATCTTCAGAATACCTTGATGAAGTAGAAAACAAGAAATGCACAGAGAATTGAGATGCATGCAGTAGAAGCCCAGAGTCGGGTCACAAAGTGCCTGTTCTCTAAAGTGCCTCTAATTCAAGTTTCCACCACAGGTTTGTGTTATTAATGAAGAGAAATTGTCCAAAAGYAGATTCCCACTTAATGTCCTCCAAGCTCAAAGGTAGACCCTGTTCTTTGAGTTCTTGAGCTTCCTGGTGTGTTTCGCAAAGTCTCCTTAGGAGCTCTCCTGCTTTCTTTACCTTCCTAAGCACAGCCACCTACCAATTCCCTCAGGTGGGTGAAGTGTACTTCCACAAACTCCACTAACCTAATACCACTGCCTTTACATCCTTCCTTTCCTCAGGAAAGTGAGGACCATTATTTTCCTCTTTTCAAATTACTTGCCTCTTTTTCACTCAAATTTCTTTCCATTTTCAGCTTTTCAGAACAGATCTTGATTAGGACAGCATCAAYTTGACATAGCTATTTCCACAGTTGCATTCTGTCTCTGTCTCTGTCTCCAAGAGCTGGAAGGACAACGAAGAAGAAGCTGCAACGTCACCTGAGACTGTCAGTGGTGAGCAGATGAATTCCTGTTTTCTCCTATAGTGTGACATGTTTCTACAACTACCTACACGGAGCTAGGATTCACAGAGTAGCTCCAAGTACTGCCACACTCACACTACTCATGATTCATTTTATGTCTGTGTTCCTAGACGAAGACAATAATTTAATATAATTCACTCTAATTTAAATGACTGCAATGGAAATCTTCCCTGTTGGGTTTGAGAGCAGTGCTGGAGAAGCACAGATTAAAACAACAGGGCTCCCCTAAAGGCTCTTTCTAGAGGGGGAGGAAGCAGGAATAGATAAAACCTTGCTCCTTCTATTCAATAGACAAAAGCATTGCTCCTTGCTGCAATGCTCCTTCCCAAGCTCTGCAGCCTCCAGCCTTCTCTGCCCCTACCAGGAGCTCCACTTGCTTCACTTCCCAACCTTCACAAATGAACCCTGCACACAAACTGAGAGCAAACACAGCCAAGCAGCACTGCCCATCACCTGTGTAAGGTTTTCCCCCTCTCTCAGCTGTCTGAAGCTACATGAGATGAGTCTTACCCCAAACATTCTCATCTTTGATGCTATCTCCCAGGAAAGCTAAGGCAAGCTTGGAAATCTGGGTTCTACGAATGGCCCTACTAGTAAACTATGGTTTTGATTGTTTGTTTTTATCCTCACATCTTTAACAAAGATACAATCAAAAATAACGTTAACTATTAGAATTTGAGGAGTATTACTAAGAGACTACTAAATCACATGTTAGAATAAAAACAAACAAACAAACCCCACTTTTTTTCCTTAGGATTTTGCTTTACTTGGCCAAAACTGTTAGAGGTTTATCAGAATCAGCCAAGTTTTCTGTATTTGCAATAAATACCGCATTAAGGTGGGGGCAACAATATAAGTTCAACAACTGCCTAAAAGGATTTGGGCTGTGCAAAGAATGTAATATCAAATACTAATTTTGCAAAAAGATTACAAGTATTTACTAAAATTTTGACTCAACAAATGATGGTTGTAG